AGTCTTCTACGTTACTCATCCTTTTGTTGGTTTACTTATCCTTATTTAAGTGTGGGTGAAAATTTAAAAAATTGCAAATTTCAGAAATTGCAGTAATCTATATTATAAGCTGGAAATGTTTGTCTGCAACGGAAGTGAAAGTAATTTTCCGAAACGGAAGTGAAAGTGGAAAAGGTTAATCTTAATTTAATTACTTCCGGTGCGGACTGGTATTCAACGTGTGGAACTTATCGCCCGGCGGAAGACGGGCTTATACGCTAGTGCATTAATACATCAGAACTGTCGCAATGAGTCCAAACTTGACAAAAATATTAACTCTAAGCAAAATATTTTCAAAATTTACAAAAGGAAAATTCAATTATATCTAGTGTAAGCCCGGGCGCCTGCCGGCGCCCCCCGGGTTGCCCGCCCCTAAATCGGGGCCTGCCGGAATCATAACCGAAATCATAACCTAAATCATAACTGAAATCATAACCCTTCTCTGATTGGTGGATCCAGAATTTCAACAGCCAATCAGAATGCAGGGATGTCACGGAAAATTCCACGGGACGGACTTTTGGAAATTATAATATAGATTATTCACGTATATAAATTTTTATACAACATGGAACAAGATTATTGTCAGATTACCCTTTGAACAAAGAAGCCTACCTACTTGTCATTACTTATCCAAACATGTCATTAGTGCAGAATAACAGCCATAGAAAGATCAATCTTGGCCTACCCCTTATGAGAAAGTAGTGCATTAAATACAAATATACAACGACAACTATGTAAGTATTATTGCATACGCTACGATGTTCAATTATTTACACGACACATTTTTCTATTCATAAAAAGCAAATTGCCAAACTTTTACTCAGATTAAATTGCCGTGTCTGTGTAATACTAGCAATTTTTCAAACGAGTTATAAGCTTGGCTTTGTAATTTCTCGAGTTCATATCCAGTGTAATATATGCAAATTAGGGAAAATTACCCATGTGTATAATTTTGTACACCACATTGAATAAGATTCTTGTCAGATTAACCTTTGAGCAGACAAACCTTCCTACATACTTATCATTACTTATACATAAATAGATATGTAATTGATGTGGAATAACAACCACTTGAAACAAGTTATACAAGCGTACTACCAAATGCTCAGGTCCAATAACACGAATTTGTCGAAAGTCAATTAAAAAAATATTTCTGTTACATATTAAATCAGCATAAATCCGTCACAAATTTGATTCGTAGTTTCCATGCCATCATTTTCCACATAGTTGCTATCAATTATTTACAAACTAATAAACATCCACACGAAAATTGATATTTTAGTGCGTACAGTTAAATATGGACAAAAATGTACCGATGCGAGATACACAATAAAAAAGATGTATTTATATAGGTAGATATTTATTTACAAATCTACATATGCGAATCTAGTTTATCGTGAGATGACCACATCTTATTCTGGCTTCAAGCGCTCTTAAATACTCTCAACTCATCGCTAAATTTGGGCTTAAAATACCTGACTTTCGATTTAAACATGTGGCATATCGAAGGCACCCGGCATTTTCGCACTTGCATAAAAACGCTGCAGCGAAACTCACTACGATCCGCATCCTTTCTCGAGTGGAACAACAAACTTAGGAGGGCCGTCCCCATGAAATCCTCCGACTGGAGGTATCTTGTTTTTAAATTATTTGCCCTATTCAGTACGATCATTACACAACCAATTCTACTTCTTTGGTGTTACGAAGTCAACAAATCAGTCACCGGATCCGTCACCTTGGTCTCCAAGTATGCTTCTATTATAAGTGCTTTTGTCGCTTTTACGGTGCTCCCATACCTTTGGTTTTTCGCGAAAGAGTTGAATTCACAAAAATTTGTGACCTATTTTCACGAGATACTCAACTTGGATAAAAGACTTAACGGTGAGTGGAATCTTTTACAGTCGCGGGTCACTTGCACAAGTTTGTGTGTCCGAATTTACACATACATACTCGAATTTGGTGTTAAGGGGGCTGTTACTTACATATGCACAAGGCTATATAACTAGGGTTTACTTTGAAAACTAACTGGATTTTTAGGGTTTTACTAGATGATACTGGGTTTCCTTGAATGCTTGGGTTAAACAACAAACAATAACTGAAAAGTACATATAGAAATCTAAGTAACATGTGTAATAAAAGCACGACTTACAGTTAGTTGGGCATCTATAAACTGATTCCGTACCTTATCTGCGAAATTTTTTATAGGATAGAGGAGTATCCGGTAATATGTACCTTTAAATATACCATAGTAAAAAACCTGCTTGTTTCATAGACACAATAAAACCCTTGCTCACCGAACACTACCTACACACGACCTGTTCCTGTAGGTAGGACTTACTAATATGAACTTATTAACACACATCTCTTTCCAATTTCTTGCAGTGTACATTCTTCTCAAACTTATGGTTACCAAATCAAAATATCACCCCAAAAACTTAGCTACCGTAACCACAATTGCAAATCTGGGCACTTTCATGGTAAACTATACCGCTCCAGCGTTCATAGTGTGGCTCTCGGTCACCAACAATTCCCCCTTCAACGGGTTTATTCTACACCACAGAACTATACTATTCTATCTATACTATTCTATACTATTCTATATTCGGCATCAACAGTTGAGTAAATTGTGATCAAGGTTGGATAAATTTTCATCAAATTTATTTAGCGTGTAAGTTGAACTACTAATGTTTACCTATTATTTTCAAGTTAATAAAGTATATAATCTTGACTAGTTTTTTTAAAAACCTGCTAGCCCTCGTCAAAAGATGTAGATTTAAAATGAATGGATTACTGATGGCATATCTTGCTATATAATGAAACTCAAATTTAGTCAGCATGAATTATACGTGATTTTGTAACATCTAAAATTTTGGGCGGAGCAATTTCATTGGGAATGTTTGGCCATCAAATATAGCAAAAGTAACTGCTGCCACAAATTTTTAGTTTGAATATTAATTATGAATTTTGAGAGTGACCAATACTTATGACCGACTCCATCACACGTTTTCTAATGGTTTGTAATTAATTGTGTCAAAAATACTTGAATGTTAAAATGTTCAAATACCCTATTTTGAAGGTAATGAAGTTATGTGTCATCGAGAAAAAATTTGACCAATGTCAGTAACATATGAAGGTTTTACTTGCATATGAAGATGTGACATAAAAAACGACCAATACTTTTGTCTACCGGGTGTATATGCTAAGCTTTTCTAATCTCATGAAATATTGCCCTAATACTTTTATATGAATAAATATATTAATATTAATGGCGCACTAATATCCTATTTTCATTTATCCAATTACCAAATTGTGCATTACGTTTCAATTAAGCAAATTGCTGTTATGGAACAGAGACAACGCCTACTTGTCAATATCACTTCATATGAACTTCATCACTAACTATACATATTTTGCAATCAGGCGAAATGAAACGCTGTTTCGGTTTAGCTTTCCATCACGCTTTAACATTCGGCCTTTATTTTACAAAAATAAATCAACAATGAAAAAAACCGTTGTTCCAGTAACCGGACACCCTCAATTTTGTCAAAAACCACCACCGTCAAATTCTAAATTGACATCACAACTCCTCCCACTGGTAAAACTCCTCCGTTTATATGGTCGATGTCCAATTTTATTCAAAAACTATGGAGCTTACACGGAGTACGATTTCCAACCGAAATCTGCTAAATGTATCATATTCCCCGCGACAATGGCAGTTTTGTCAATTTCTTTCATAATTTTTGGAATTCTACAATTTGGAGCGACTGGAGGACACGTGGTTGCTACTGGTGGACTGTAATAACTTTTCCCATTAATACGCAGATTGCGAGTTTATGGAATCACATAAAAATTTTCAGCGTTGGGACTATACATTGAGGTTAACATTAAGTTTTGACGTTAGCAATTAATTTTGACTCCCGCCGAGTTTGCGCGACTTCGGCTTCATGTAATGTTAAGTTTTCCTTTATGTGTCACTCTAAAAATAAAATTTTAGCGGAGCATAAGGTTTTCAGTGCAAATCTGAACCTTTACTTCGCAAGCGTGAAGTGAAACATAATTGAGATTTGGTGCTAATTTTTATGTAGGTTAACACTAATTCGCACATGAATTTGGTAGACATGTTTAAGATTAACCCTAACGATAAATCTAGCATCTGCGAAAAAATTGAATGTCACTACCTCAACTCGCAATCTCCTCAACAACTAAATATTTTGGCGGTTAATAATTTAAACGAAATTCTAATGATTTTACTTAAAGTTGGCCGAATATCGGGTATCCTGATGTGACCAGTGCCGGAACTCCTCGCACCCGTTTGACTTTCATTTTACTCTACGCTGCCCAAATTCTCTCCTTGGGAAACATAATTGTCGAATATTTTATTTCTTGGTGGACCACGCCCCAATTCGTGGCTTACCTGAATGCCTGGAATCGAATTCAATCCCTGGAAAGTGATGAACTTGTCCATCTCGGAAACATAAACATTTCCAAATTCAGAAATACATTTGCCCCAACCTATTGTTTTGCAATGACACTTCCTTTCTGTGTATTTCTATCGGCAGCCGATTTACCGTATTTATTAGACTATCCTGTTTATTTCATTTTGCACGCGCTCTTCTGTTTTATTACCACGAGCATCTATGTTACCGAGGATATTAAGGCTGTTCTCATGTTGAAGTGTGTTGAAGCCGGGTTTTCAGAGGTAACATGCTTTCGTGCACTCTAGAAAGTAATGTTCCCCTTTCAAAAAGTAAATTCACTCCCAATTCTAGATTGACGAAACTAAACTATATCCAGAGTGAACTTTGCTACATATTTATTTATAAAGTTGCCGTGGATTTAGTTTACTTAATATAGTATTCACTGTAGATTTACTTTTTAAAAGGGAGGTACAATTTTTGAGAATGTATTAAAATTCATGCAACAATTTATCAACATTTTGAAAAATTCGTGCATACACCAGACTCGCAAAATCTTCCAGAGCGTAGGATTCGTTATGGACACCGCGCGGTCACGACATTTGAAAAGATTACTCTTCAGTATTCGCCGGCAGGCCGCTTTATGCGGGCGGTATTTAGCCCCGTCACAATTATTGTCGGTCATGTTGTCAATTTGGTTTGCTTCTTCGACTATATACATCTCTCTAATGTTGTTTATTGAAGGTAACTCAGATTACTATGCGTTGGCGGGTAACATGTCGTTTTTCAGCGTTTTTTCGATGTATCGAGTATTCACAAAAATTCGGGCAGGAGTACGAATTACTGCGGAAGTGAGTGAAGGCGCTTTGTTTCAAACGTTTAAATTTGGTAAAGATCAAATGTTAATGTGGTTTAGGAATTTTACAGGAAAAGGAAATCGCAGACATTCTTAAAGGGTTAGAGTTTGAAGGCATAAAGGATCAAGTGTGGACGAGAAATGAGGTTAGAAGTCAATGTCGATTTGCCCAATTTTCTGTACGGTATATACGCCGTGTTATAAAAAAAACCATGTGGGTTTTTCGCGATTCTGATTTACAGATTTCGCTAAGATAGAACCTGCGAATTTGGCTGTTTGCTATTTTTAATGATTTACCTTAATGATTTAATCCTAGATCAAATGCATTTACACTGAATTGTCCTTTTTTCCAACGGAAATTTCTCTAAGTGGTTATGCTAAGCTGAACAACTCATTAACCTTAAGTGTAAGTATATACATACCTACGGACATAAAATTTTTACCTGATTACTAAATTGTAAAATAAGAGAGTATACTAAAGAGTTTGTATAATAATTTCAGATATTTGGCCAAGTCTGTACGCTGTTCATTGTATTTATGCAATTAAACATAAACTGACAATATCATTATCGACTTGTAAAGGTGATACATGTACTAAGATTTTGTTTACTGTTGAAGTTATCATTACTTCATTCGGCCAAATAGAAATTTGCATTGGCTAAACAAAATAAAAATTGTCAAAAAAATTGTCAAAATATTTTCAAAAGCAAAAAATTGAATTGGCCGAGTCAAGTGATGACGAGATGAATTCCGAATTTCTGAAAAATTAGTTAATTATAATAATGGTCGCATAACTAAATATTCGACATGCTTAAGACTAGCTTAAATCTAAATCGGTTTATGATAAAACTTTTTGTATGTAATTTGTATTAGTAGGGCTTGGCGAACACGATCGAATTCCGCACAAATATTGTTCGATTATCAGAATCCCGAAAGTGGCCTCAAAACAATAACGACATAATTGATGCATTATATACTTAACCAAAGTACTTAGGTTTTATGCTCATTTGACAACAATTTCAGAATTTTATAGGCAGTTGATTGGTAATTGAGTCATTAAATAATTTAAATATCCCTTTATCAGAACAACCGGTTTGGAGCTGCTTTAACCTTCATCCATATAGATCTTTATGTATATAATGCATCCATAATTTAAACAAATGTCATCAATTATTACGGTAAACTACAATACTTCCGTGAAAAACATCATCAAGGTTGTCTAAAAAAATTGTACAATTTTCCAGTGCTTTCTGCAACAAAACCTCTATTATTAACCTGTATGCATATATTTATCTAATTTATTGATTAAGTTGCCTTCTGCTATAAAAAAAGATGAAAAAATTATACATGTCCTCTCCAGAAACCAAGCACTAGCCTCACCACCATCGCCGCATCAACTTCAACATAAATTACATGAACTATTCTCATCCAAAATGCTAGAAAAGATATTTTTAGGGTATTTCCGTAGCGCTGTTGTAACATGTCAGCGTAGCAGTCTTAACATTAGCTACTGTTTCGTTTGGGACTGCAAACATCGACGCATCCAACCACTAACGAATGAATGGAACATCCGAGGGTTTCAAGTCTTAACCATTATTATGATACTCGTTTCGCCAATATTCCTGGGCAGATGCTACCAAGTTACCATATGGCCACGAGCGAATGAGAACGAAATGACGCCTCTGATAATTTACTGGATTACTTTCATAGGCCTCTTATTTTTACAGTACGCAGTCATCCTAATGACACCTTCCGGTGCAGCGAAGCTTGTCAAATGCTACGAACAATTGATGAACATGGAGAAACAATTTGAAGGTAAAAAATCCAACAGAAATTAATCCTGATATAAACGTTTCAGGTTATAAATTTTAAATCTCTCTTATATAAATTTCCCAATTTTTAGACCTCATTCTATACCCAAAGCAATCTCGTGGAGCAGTATGGAACTTTCGTCAAATTGTGGATACACATAATCCTCGGAACGGTTGGGTTATCCAGCTCAATGGTAATGTTCTCAACGATGTCGCTCTGCTTCATTCTCATTGGATACAGCATTGGATGTCTCTACGTTTGGACGTTGTTCCTCGTTCCGACTGACGACAAGCTTAATGGATTCCACAAACTACGTGGAGGACTATACTTTCATACTGCCATAAAAATGTACAGACGTCTCCACGTCATGACGATTGTGCAGTCTGAATTTTTCCGCAGCTTCAGGAATCCTTGTATGCATCACATCTTTGCAGTTGTAATGGCTACGGTCGGCCTCTACAACTTGATGCTGGAAATCATTAGTAATTTCAGCAGACCGATTTGGGTCGGTATTACGTGCATCATGGTAATCTTCGTTGCTTGGGTCTTTGAATTCTATACGGTCTGCTTAGTCGCAAAGGTTGGCGTAGCTAGCAAGAATTTCATCCGCAAAATGAGGAGGATACACGGGACAGATAGGTATAAGCGGAGATTGCTAAATGCAAGGTTGCCGAATGCAATTAATTTGGAGTTCCTGAGGTCTGTGGACAGTATTAAGAATGGGATTGAGACGGAATACTTTCTAAACTTTTTGGACCGGGTGACTGATAACACGACGGCATTATTGATGACAACAGGATAAAGGCACACTATTAGATATCTGGTGTAGTCATGCATGTATTGACTCTTGGTGTTAAAATTATATCAAACCATAAAAATTTGCTGCCAAAACGGCACAACTTTAGTACCGAGGAGGATTAATATCTGAATCCGGCTTTGTATTTGTTTCAAAATTGACAGGGGTGATTATTTTTAGCAGCTTATTTTCAATTTACGGTGTCCATCCCAAATAGATAAGCTTCGGCAGCTGAGTTTTTGATGTTTGATTTTCTACCATTTTTTAGGTTTAGGGACCCAATTTGTACGGCTCCTGCGTAGTCAGATTTTGCGATACTTTTTATGATACATTTTTCTGTATAACTCTGCGAATACGCTTTACCCTTTGACTTAATAAAATGAAACAGTTTTAACGATGGAGACCCTGCAATCCCGTGGCAATAGATAATTCAAAAAGTCTCCGAGCTTATCTTCACTGGAGTGGTGGTGGCATGGGCAGATACTGCGATGAACACTCCTAAACATAATTAGTACGACGATGTAGATTAAGCACAAATTGGAACTATCATAGGTTATGCATTGCACAGTTTACGAGTGATTTTTGAATTGAATCATATTTGTATATACTGTTTTACAAAGCCAAATAGATTAATTACGATTGGAATGTTAAAATTATTACACAAAATTAATTGGGTTGTTACACAAAATTATTTAGGTTATAGCAGAAATTATTTAGACTATTACACAAAATCCTAGGGTAATTATAATTTTACTGCTGATCGTTAGGAAGTATTTACTTTACTATATTGTAAAATGTAACTCGTAAAGGGTTCTTAAATAAATAATATACATGAACATACACTCACACATACATGCATACATACAACTAAGATTACTTGTCGCAATTATTTAGTTCGCAATATTAGAATAGAATATATAATTAACGGTTTACAATTACAAGTACTAATTATTTTCAAACCAACTAGTGCAATTCATAGTTCGTTTGTAGTTTATGGCACAACCTTGTTCAAAATTACATACATTTGCAGTTGAATTTATTAGCTTGGTGTATTTCTAGAGAATTTTAGAAGTAAATTACCCGACATTTAAATAATATGTAATACTACATAATATGTAGTATTATGTAGTATTATGCTGCAAATAAAAACTCAAAATTACACACTATTACAGCAAGATCAGCCATTAAATTTCTGTTATAGGCGCTTTTGAATAATAACGTTTATACAATATAAGCTAACTTGGAACCACCAAATACATAAAATCCCTTAGGTCTATTGTATTACTGATTCGTAAATACATACATATGCTGGGATATAGCTTTGCTTTTGTCCCACAAAATCCAAAATAATTGTATGTATGTAGATTTTCAAACGATTATTGAAACCTGTTTGGTGCTGCATTAGTGCCAGTGTTAATTTTGGGATAGATGCGATAACCTTTACAAGTGGCCAGTGAAGAAACAAGACAAGTTGACCGCTCTGACAACCTACTGGATCACATTCATGTTAGGAATATTTTTACCGTATGCAAGGGTACTGGTCAAACTTCCTGGTCGCTGGAAGCTAATTCATTATTACGAGCAGTTAGTAACGATGGAGAAGCAGTTTGAAGGTAGGTTGTAAATACTTCACAGATTTATATCAAAATCTCAAGCTTACCCCACTGTTTTTGTTTTCTTTCTCATTTTGGGTTTCTTTCTCATTTCCGAAGTTGGAATAAAATTTGCTCCACTAGAATACAATTTTCTTGCATATTTCCCGGCTGCAATACTAGCTTAAATGTTTTAATACACATTCCTGTAGAACTCATCCCACATCCAGAATACCCGAGGGGACCCGATGTTGCCAAGGCCATGATGGTTTCAACTACAATTCCAAAATTACTCAGCTACACATTTTCCTACATTGCTACCATTCTGGTTGGAATTTTTGCATTCAGCCAGCTCAATCCGCTGTATTCCATTCTTCACACGATATATAATTTCGAAAAGTCTGGTCAGCTCGTTGCAATCTTAGTTCAAACTGGTCTTGGATTTTTTGGTCTTTCTGGCACAATGATTATGTTCTCAACATTCGGAATCTGTCTTTTTCTGATCGGATACAGCATTGGTTGTCTTTTTGTATGGACATTGTTCTTACTTCCAAACGATGACAAAATTCATGGATCGTGCAAACTTAGGTGTGGCATCAACTTTGATACAGCCATAAAAATGTACAATGATCTCCGTGTAATGACAATTGTCCAATCCGAGTTTTTCCGGGAGTTTATCAGCCCGTGCATGCACCACGTGTTAGCCGTTGTCATGGCTACGGGCGCCGTGTACAGTGTACTATCTGATGTAAGTATTGAGAACAGGAAACCGATTTGGTTCATAGTTACGTGTCTACTAATTCTCGGCGTGGCCTGGTCAATGGAATTCTATTCGATCTGCATGGTCGCAAAAGTTGGCGTGGCGAGTAGGATGTTCCTCAGTAAAATGAGGAGGATGAAGGGGAATGATACCTACTGGAGTGAGGTACTGAAGTCAATGTTGCCGAACGCGATCAATCTGGAATTATTCACATCTGTGGACAGCATTAAGAACGGCATTGGGATGAAGTATTTTCTGAATTTCTTAGATAGGGTGACTGATTACACGGTGGCATTATTTATGACAAATGAATAAATACATAGTTAAATACTTTGGCCCTAGTCCAGGAACGTAGGGTACGTGTACATACATAGCCTTTAAGAGCTCTAAAACGTAGGATTATTGAACAAAGAATTGGTGTAAATCGGCATGAGAAAATGATCAGATATGTATACAATGCTAAAGAGGGTGCAACGAAATTATGTACGAACGAAATTATGTACTTGCCGTAATGAAAATAATTAATATTCTGATTAATTAATTCACAATTGAACAATTGAATTGTATGTTACATTGCTATAAATAAACAATAATAATTATAATTGG